AAAAAAGTAGTTTACTTTGACACAGGAGCACCGTCATAATTGCAGGTCTCTATCTCAATTCGTTTAGAAGTTACGGGGGAGTATTAAGACTTTTGTGCCACCCTGTATGATCAGACCCTCCGTACAAAAAGTTGATTTTTTAGCTTCGTATAATTTACTTTGATTTCCTTTTTCCTTCGATACTTGTTGGTTTTGGGTTCATACTCAACATCCTGAGGGCAATGAAATGATAATGACGTTCATGTAATCGAGATGGTCATTATCAAGAGGTAAGTTATGTTTTTTGAAATTTTCTCTAGTGGTCAAGTTGAAGAAAATTTAGAAAATAAAACTAGAAAAAGAAAAAGTTAGAAACCAAGAATAGAATTGCAGAATAATATAAGCTGATAAAAATATTATAAAAACTTGATCGATTTACACGCTTGTTAAACTTTTTCAGATGATGAATTTAAAAATCTGACTTAAAAGCAGTTTCTACAGTCTAGGGGCCTGGAGGTGACTTTTGCGTGATACCTGAAACTTCAGAGTATCCTCTAGGGTCTCTAGGACACCTTTTTCCAGCAATCATAAAGTCCGTATCCCAGGGCAACATGTTCAAAATGGCCCCCATGTCCAAAATCGAAAGGTACTGAGGCGCTCTCAAAAATCCACAATTTACTCACAAATTTTCACAGATACGCAAAATTGTCAAATGATCAAAAATCTTCTACACAAAATTTTACATAGGATGTCACCAATTTCTGACCGCAGAATCGGGTTGTGCGACCAGAAATTCACAACACTCGATATCTTACACGGTGAAATTTTAATAGAATTTTTTTTTCAGGAAGGGTCATTTTACCTGTCATATTTGATTAAGCCCTTACTTTCATGTACATAGGCTGTCCCAAAACAACTGAGAGTAAGTCTGTATTTCAGAAACAATAATAGATATTGAAACGCGGTTTGTGGGAGGTTGTAGCTCATATCCTTAGCTATCCAACAAGCCCAAGATTAGCTCATTTGGTCAAAATTTCGCTGAGTTACAGCAATTTTTCGGAGGCGCGTAAAAAATAACCCTACAGGATTTTTGAGTATTTTTCCCTTGTCTGAAATGTTGTTCCGGGAGTCGCGCAGTTGATCGCAACTTTGCAGATCACGTCTAGATGCAAGTTCTAACATGTTTGTATGTGCTTTCATTGCATATCAGAGTTTTTTTCAACTTCCCAGCTCAGTGAAGCCAACATTGTCTAGCGTTAATGACACTTTCCTACGCCACGCCGCAGAAGTTGACGGCCGGCCGCCATGCGGAATCAAAGCTCGACCCTCGGAAAAAGCTGCATGCCACCGATGAATAGTGTTCTCCCCAAGTCGGTTTTCTCCATGAGCAACTGACATCTCTTTCACGGTATCAGAGGCAGTTAAACCTCGGCGAACACAGTAACGGATGGCATAGCGATGCTCTTGTTTCAGCTCCGCGGGCGAACTCATTGCACCAAACGAGAACACGTGTCATTAACGCCAAACAATGTTGGCTTCACTGAGCTGGAAAGTTGAAGAAAACTCTGATATGCAATGAAAGCACATACAAACATGTTAGAACTTGCATCTATACCAGTGCCAACGAAATCTGCAAAGTTGCGATCAACTGTGCGACTCTCGGAACAACATTTCAGACAAGGAAAAAAATACTCAAAAATCCTGTAGGGTTATTTTTTACACGCTTCCGAAAAATTGCTGTAACTCAGCGAAATTTTGACCAAATGAGCTAATCTTGGGCTCGTTGGATAGCTGAGGATATGAGCTACAACCTCCCACAAACTGCGTTTCAATATCTATTATTGTTTCTGAAATACAGACTTACTCTCAGTTGTTTTGGGACAGCCTATGTAGAAGATGATTTTTGACCGCAAATTTAGATTTTACGACCGAAAATATATAATAATCGACAAATTACACGGCATTTTTCCGACAGAATTTTTTTAAAATATGAAAGTGTCATTTTGGCCGCCATCTTAGATTCAGGCCTTACTCTAATGCTCAAGGCGATTGCTGACTGCTACATAATAATAAACACCTAACACAGTATACTTGCTTCAGAAATTTTTCTCATCCTGAAGGAGACCTTTTGGCCGCCATCTTGGATGGGGGGGGGAGGTCTCATGAAATTTGAGACGCTATAATCGATTTTCGTATTTAAGGCAATAAAATGATGGGGCTGAGCCAGGTTTTACAGTTTCTTCACGAACTGGAACTTTGAACATAAGTGTTCGTGAAAATGTCACTAGACTGGAAATTGCAAAAAATGAAATTTGTCGCTAAATTTACAGGAGTAGCAGGGCTTTGCAGGTTTAAACTTGACGGATCATGTAAGTAGAAGGTATGAGGAAGTTTCTTGGCACTCAGTTAAAGCACTAAAGTCCAGAGAGTTATAGCAATGATCACGCAAGTTTGTCAAAATTTTTTAAATTTCCGAAACTTTGGGGGGAAAAAGTAACTTTCTTCTAAAAAATTAGGGGGCTCAGAGGTCCAAACTTGGTGACACCCTATGTAAAATTTGGCGTAGAAGCTTTATGATCCTTTGATATTTTGAGTATCCGTGAAAATTTTTGAGTAAATCGCGGATTTTTGAGAGCACCTCATGGAGGCCATTTTGAACATGTTGACCTGGGATACGGAATTTATGATTGCTGGAAGAAGGTGTCCTAGGGACCCTGGAGGATACCCCGAAGTTTCAGGTATCACGCAAAAACCACCTCGAGGCCCTTGGACTGTAGAAGCTGCTTTTAAGTCAGATTTTTCAATTCATCGTCTGAAAAAGTTAAACAAGCGTGTAAATTGATCAAGTTTTCATAATATTTTTATTAGCTTATATTATTCTGCAATTCTATTCTTGGTTTCTAGCTTTTTCTTTTTCTAGTTTTATTTTCTAAATTTTCTTCAACTTGACCACTCAGAGATTATTTCAAAAACATAACTTAAATTTTGATAATGACCATCTCGATTACATGAACGTCATTATCATACCATTGTTCTCAGGATGTTAAGTATGAAAGTAAGGAGTATATCGTGGATTTTTGAGAGCAACTCAGTACCTTTCGAATTTTAACATGGGGGCCATTATGAATATGTTTCCCGGGAATACGGACTTTATGATTGCTGGAAAAAGGTGTCGTAGGGGCCCAAGAGGGTACCCTGAAGTTTCAGGTAGCAAGCAAAGGTCACTTCGTGGCCCCTGGACTACTAGGGAAAGTCATTATATTCAGTGATATGAAATTTTCAAAAAATCGCACAACAAATTTTGTCTTTGAGTACATTTGATCGACGCTTGTGAAAGAATGAGGCATGTAATGGAAAATTGATTTTATACAAGCCAAAAAAAAAAAAAAAAAAACTGTTGTTTCATTCTTTTAAAGTTATCTTCTCCTTCTTATACTATAAGCTCCGAGACCTCCTAATTTTGCGTAAATGGTAACGCTTAGTTCCGGCGTTCTACCGGGCCGATGTTCATGATTTTTAAGGCTATCGACAGGCAATTGTCTCTAGATGAGCCCGCTTTATTCAGATTTTCAAATTATGATCCAGGTTTTTTTTACATATTACGTGGTAAAGTTGCGAATTTTTCCATTTAAACAATGTAAATTTATGTTTTTTGTCATAGTACGTTTGAGCGTTCTACTGGGCCAATTTCCATGATTTTTTGGATTATCGACAGATAATAGCCCCTAAATGAGCCCGCTTTAATCGGATTTTGGAAATAGAACCCAGGTTTTTTTGTGTAAGGATAGACCAGAACGCTTAGGAAGGGGGGTAAAATTTGAATTTCCCGCCAATGAAAAATGGCGGGAATTTCAAATTAAGCGGAAAATTGAACTGAGCGGGAAATGTGGAATCTCGGTCTGTTAGTAGGGTAAAAGAATCGAAGGTATGCTCCTTTTCTACAGACCATCAAAAAGCGACGAAACGCTCCTACCGTTTTCTTTCAGTCTTGGCGTGAAGTTTGAAATAAATGCCGATTTTTTCAATTGATTCTTAAGGGCTGGACACACGTTCAAAGTGAAGCTTCAGAGTGGTGGCTGTTTAGTGAAGTGCTACGCATCAATGCGGTGATCGATGGCAACACTTGACAAAACAACCACCACTTTGAAGCGTCACTTTGAACGTGTGTCCAGCCCTTTATTGGTCTAATCGCTCCCGGCCACAGAAATATTGGATAAAAATGAGAGTCTGGTATGAAAATCTTTTAATTTTTTTTTTCATTCTTTTGCCGACGCGGGCCTAAAAGAGCGCGAAGCGCCCTCTGGGGATTGAGCCGCTTAGCAGCCAGGGGATAGATTAAGACCAGATATAAGAATAGGATCAGTTTGACCTCCCCACAAAGTTATTCCAATGAGATTTATACATATCTCATTACTAAATACTTTAATTTTACTGATATCAGGATTTCTTGTTACATGGGCACACTATGAACTAGCAAATAACAAATTTAGAAACACAAAGATTAGATTAATGATATCTATTTTGCTAGGAATTTATTTTTTAGTAAATAAGAGAGCTTAAGCAGAGCATTTTACATGTAATTTTGATTTACTTTTTTACTAGCCGAGATGATCTACAGTATTCTGTTGAACTCAGCATCTCCATTTTCAACAAATTCTGTTGCTGTTGTTGTTTCCGTTCTGATTTTTTTTTTTTTTTCTTTCATTTGCAAACAAGGCATCTGCGAGTCAAATCTCATTGGGTACAAGATATAACAGTGAAGTCCCTGGTTGGGATAGAGAAAGTATCCAAAGAGGGCTGTAAATCCAAAAGTAGCAAAAGTGTAAATAGAAACATTGTTGCATTATTCTGATAAAAAACAAAAAAGCAAGATGCAAGCTTCCACCTTCAAGAAAATAACAACTTCCAAAGCATCCAACTCAGAGAGCTTTAACTGTAACATGTAAATTTAATAGAATTGATCTTTCACGATTAGTGAATATAAGAATCAAGAGAGCAAAGAATCGAAGATAAAACATTACCTCTGGGTGCTACACTGATTGGAGCTATTGATGGATGACCTCTTGAAGGAGCAATACTGTCCAGGCTCTGAGATCTCACAGGTTTCTCAGAAGACTGCGGATCTACCTAAGAAAAATGAGAAAAACAGAAGAATAATGAAAGTATATTGCAGAATATTGTTAAGATGGTGCTCTACGTCCAGACGCACACATCATGAGCGTTCATAGTTTACATGGGTGGGTTTGATTGTTTTGGTCAATTTTGAGCGAGTCGCACATTCATAGCAGGGATACTATATATATGTTTCAAAGTGGAAGCATCAATTTAGTAGTAGTTATGGTGTAGCATATTTACTGACTAACAATTTTCAAATTAAATCCATATTGAAATACGTTTGGACCATTTTTTTCTTCCAACCCACTGAACAATCAGGCATTTGTCAGGATCTGAGGATTTGCAAAAATCGTTTTGGCATCTGACCTATTATACAACTAACAGTTTGTTTATAAACTTTCCGCCCATGACCCATAGTGCGGCCCAGCCCCTCACATGCTACGTAACCCCCTTGACACTCAGAATTTGTGATCCTCAATGCGTAATTTTCGTCTGAGTAGATGCTTAAATTGAATTTCTTTCGCAGACAGTCCACAAAGCCGTTTCAGGACCGTTTGTATGTCCATAGTGGATTTCATTTTCATTGTGCAATGCAGGTACCGTTGTACTCGCGCCAATAGCTTTGGCAGTAGATCAAACCACTTGAATGAGCCTTGCACGCTGAATTATTTTTACATCTTTGTTTTGATTGTTTTGATGAATCACCCAATGAAGAACGTTTTGGTCTTCCGGCACAAGTTGCATTATCTTGTGTCAAAGCTTGAGACTTGGAGTTGTAGAGTTCCAATTTCATTGAATGAGAGATGCTATGGTGATGTTCCTGCAGCCAGTTTGGCCAGCGTTATTTCCGACTAAGTGTCAATGCCAGTAAGAAATGAGCGCTGGCAAAACCCACCTCAGGAATACAGATTACGGAACGAAAATCAGACAAAACACCTCAGCATCTAGACAAAACAGTGCAGGTGAAAAAAAACCATTAGCCTCTTCAGGAGCCAGGAGATGAGACTGGTAAGTATTTGGAGAATCTTTGTACTTTCTTGGAAACCCTCTAGACCCCTGCATGGCAGTCAACATGTTGAGTTTTGGAAGTTTAGAGCTGAAAATTATGTCATACTTCTGAGATCCCCATTGCTTTAAATTTGTTTGATGCTGATACTTCACTTGGAAGCATAATAACAGAGAGCAAGCATGTTTCGTTTCTACTTGTTTCAGTAATTTTTTTAGAGGCATAAAACTAAGATGAATTAAAAGACCTGAATATCTCCGATGACAAGTTTTTCACTGCTAACGGATGGGACTAAGGACAAGAGAAGATCCAAACGCACTGGAGTTTGATTCGCAAGATCTTCAGCAATGTCTAAACATGATTCAGAGTAAGTTTGATCCACCCACCAATGAGAACATATTGATAATATATCAGCTCGATGGTCTGGATTTACATTCAACATACTCCTGATTAGCGGAGAGGCAGCTGAAACAGTAAAGTTAAAAAACAGTAAAAATTCATCATTAGTGTTCTGCTCATGTACCTTGTTGTTTCCTTTTTTCACTGTGCTTTGCAATATCATAACAGGTAGAGAGAAAATCCTAAAGCATTTTCATTATGATATTCTGTCTGACTCGGTGGTTTTCTATGTAAATTTTTGTACTAAAATAATTTTCCAACTTTTAATTTAGATTAACTGAATAATGACCTAAAAAGGAAGATACATTACGGTTGAATTCCATTAACAGCCAGGGACTAGTGCTATAGGACCCTAGACTCCTGTAGGAGCCAATGTAAAAATCTGTGAACAGTTACCGACTAGTGCTGCGATCTTGCGTAGGATCCTCGCAACTTACTGTTATGATCAGTTGTTGAAATTCACAAAAATCCGTAGGATTACGTGCATCTGCCAAAAATCTAATTTTGCACCCTTCAAGACTTGGGAGCGGGCCCTCACCCTTGTAGCAACGGTTCGTGAAAAACTCGTAAAAAAAATGTAAAGAACTTGTGAATTTCATTAACACATAAAAAACTCGTAAAAAAGTTGTAAAAGAAAGAAGTTTTTTACAAGTTTTCGTTTTTATGTAAGAAACTCGTAAAAAACTTGTAAATAACTCATAAAATTTACTTTTTATTTACAAGTCAGCTTTCAAAATTTTGACTCGTAAAAAACTCGTAAAATACTTGTAAATAACTCATAAAATTTACTTTTTATTTACAAGTCAGTTTTCAAAATTTTGACTCGTAAAAAACTTGTAAAATACTTGTAAATAACTCATAAAAGTTATAATTTATTTACAGGTCAATTGTCAAAATTTTGGCTTGTAAAAAACTTATAAAATACTCATAAACAACTAGTAAAATTTACGTTTCATTGAAGAGTCAATTTTTTAAACATCGACTTGAAAGAAATTCGTGAAACACTCATAAAATACTCATACAATTTAACTTTCATTTACAAGGCAACATCTGAAATTTCGACGTGTAAAAAATTTGTCATACATTCATAAAGAACTCTTAAAATTCATTTTCATTTACGAGTCAATACCTGAATCGTAAAAAACTCTTGCTGAACAGAAAAGAAATTGAAAAATTCACCTTATTCTCTTTAGGGGTGAATTTCCCAAATTTTGACTCATAAGAAATTTGTAACTAACTCAAGAAAATAAACTGGTAAAATTTATTAGCGAAAGAGTGTATTATATGCATGTGTAACAATTGATGTATTGAACAAAAGAATTTCCAAAATTTTGGCTTCAAAAGCGCGTACACAAAACAACCACACATGAAACAGGCAAGATACTTCAGGGGGCAGAATTATATTTGGTGAGAATTAGGTTACTCACCGGGATGAAAGGTTTCATTTGTCAATGCGCAATTTTATTATTGTAGATGTTACGGGTGCATTATGACAGCAATAAAAGTTCACTTGAATCTGATTTCCTATTCACTTTTCACAACCAGAATTCGGTGAATATTTAATAGCCAGTCATATTGGAAAGGATTTTGGGTATGGTGAAAAATATTTTGCCAGTGTATATAGTTACCACACTGGAAAGCCATTGAAACTACAGTGGATTAACATCCATTTCTAATCGTACCGTTTCAAAATTTGGTAAAAAAGAAAAAAAATGTACTAACTTTAAAGATTCTCATGAACACAATGCACATGTGCAGCTGTGTCTGCAACCTGATTCAGAAAATTTGACATCAATATCATCGATAGGTTATATCGATGATTTCCCTGCCTTTGTCGATGTTGAAATAAACATTCACCATTGTTGGTTTGACCAATTTAGAACACATTAACGGACAAGTTATCTTCACTTCTACATGGACTAGACGAATCAGGATGATTACTGCTAGAAATAAGCTGTGAAGAGATTGCACTTTTTCCATTTTCAGTTTCCAAGTTAGGTCAGGTTGGAGGTTTATAGCTATACATTAATTAATAAAATCTTCAAGCTTCAAGCTTAAATCTTCAAGCTTTATTTCACAAGTTTCCATGTTTAAAATTGAAACGAAAACAAATTTTCTTTTGTAAGCTCCTATGTAAAGAAACTTCTATTTTACAAGTAGATTTGTATTCAAAACCTTGTGAAGTGAAGATGCGCAAAGCCCGTATCATACAATCAGAGCTCTCAAAGTGGCACGTGGGATCATGTGACACTCAGATCGAGATCCCTCAATGATAATTTTGTCAGGCATATGATCTGCGGGGGTCACGTGACGCCATTTGAGAGGTCTACTTTGATTGTCTGATACGGGCTCAACACATAAAGAACTCGTAAAAAACTCGCCAAAAAATATCGTTGACGAATTTGGAATCATTTCACGAGTTTTTTACGTAAAAAACTTTTGGATAAGTAACCCGTAAAAAATAATTTTCAGTGGCAGCGCACTATTATCTAACATGAGTTTCTCACTTATTTTTCATAAGCTTTTTACGTAAAAAACTCGTGAAATGATTCCCAATTCGTCAACTGGGAACTTTTTTTTACGAGTTCTTTACGAGTTCTGTATATGTTGCGCATCTTCATTTCACAATGTTTTCAATTTTTTTTTACAAGTTTTTCACGATCCGTTGCTACAAGGGCACCTGTCGCAAGGGGTCGGAAAACGCCAAAAATATACTAATTTTTCAAGAATGCAGCCTCCTATGTGTTATATTTCAGCGGGCAATGGATGAGTCGAGGTTCGCGGGGAAGGATACTCTGAGTTTATAAGGATCCTATGCAAGAATGCGCTGCAGTCACCTGCTCACAACAGAACGGCGTCCTATAGAACTCGTCCCTGTCACCAAGGTCGATAGGTCAGACCGTTAGAAAGGTTGAGAGTGATGATCTCTGCAAATAGGGGGTGAGGGCTGTCCGCGTTGCCGACTGATTCCCCCGATTTACTTGTCCCACTCTCCTGTTCATCCGATCCGAATACATTGGTCTTATGCAGAGCGGGAAGATCTGGGAGATTGGGGAGGAACTATGCTACGGGGCAGCGCTAACGCAAATCGGGGAAATGTTTTGAGTGAAATTGCAAATGGGGAATCCGTCGCTAGATCGAACAATTCCAAAAAACATTAACGGACGGACCTAGGTCTGTCGACCTTGCCGGACACAGCGTACAATTGAATCAATTTATGCAAAGACGTTCTTAAGTTGGGATGTTTATTTTCAGAGGATAACTATTAGAAAGTGTATTAACTTCTAATTTAGGCATGAAAATATTCAAGGAATGAATTGTAATGGAGACAAATAATGGACACTTACACAAGGTGTGAACTCAAGCATAAAGATAAATTTTTTACGTCAAAATTTCAGGCAAAGCATGATTTGTGTAATGAAAAGTACAAAAAGTAACTCCTAACCTAGGTAATAACGTTTTCCGATGCACAAATTCAAACTTTCTGTTCAACGAAACGCATTTAGGCTTGGCTGCTCGTCAGGCCACCCGACGTGCAGCTTGACGGGTCGCTGCGGGCTGCTCGATGAGCCCTCCACCGAAACGCTCTTTATCATCATAGTAGAACACCTATACCAAAGGGCTCGTCAAGCTGCATGTCAGGCGGCTTGATGGGCAGCTCGGCAAGCCATATGAACGCGCCGTCAGAATTACTATATTCTACTTGAGATAAATCGCACACTGAACGTAGCAGCAACAGCCTCTGCAGCTAAACGTTGCAGCAACAGCCTCTGCAGTATGAAAAGTGACATAATTAGTCTCCGCGCTTCGGCTCAGTTATTGCGCATTACTTACAATTCAATCAATACACTTTAAGGAAGGAACACTGCTCGATTAAGAGGCCCGCCTGCCAACACCATTGTAGTATGCACGACGACTTTTGTAGATCCAGGTATTTCTTGCTAGCAGCTTCACTTATTTACTAGTAGTTCTGGACGCGCTTCGCGCCTCTGTTTCGGCTAGCCGAGGGGCTGCGCCCCCTGGACCCTCAGTCATTTGTTCAGGTAGTAGTTGGACATTTGATCATTATGATGTATATACAGGGTGTTTCAGACCACCCGTGCCAGGCCTTTTTCTCGGTTGTTTTAGGTTGTACGAAGTCAGGGACCGCGAGGTTAAATAGGGAATCGACCCCGAGAAATCCAAATTTCATGGTCTCAAAGCTCCTCTATCTCCCCTTGGGGGGTGAACGGGGGGCCCAATTTTAAAAATCGGGGCTCCTTTCCGAATCGCAAATTGATTGCATCCAAATTGAGGAGCAGAACACATTTACATCTTAAGTGACCCCCAAGAGTTCTAATTGACCCCCTGAACGGCAGAAAGTAACCTCCTGAGGAGGGGGTCTTCGCTCCCTCCAAAAATTTCTCAAGATTCCTCTTTGGTCGCAAAATTGACGTCGATTCTCCAGAAAAAGACAATTTCTTCCCAAAAGGACGGGTAGCGGAGCTTAGGGACCGTGAATTTTAGAGTCCTCTGGGTCGATTACCTGGAATTTCTGGGTTTTCTGGATTTTCTGGATTTTCTGGATTTTCTGGGGAATCGACGTCAATTTTGCGACCCAAGAGGAATCTTGAGAAATTTTTGGAGGGAGCGAAGACCCCTCCTCAGGGGGTTACTTTCTGCCGTTCAGGGGGGTCAATTAGAACTCTTGGGGGTCACTTAAGATGTAAATGTGTTCTGCTCCTCAATTTGGATGCAATCAATTTGCGATTCGGAAAGGAGCCCCGATTTTTAAAATTGGGCCCCCCGTTCACCCCCCAAGGGGAGATAGAGGAGCTTTGAGACCATGAAATTTGGATTTCTCGGGGTCGATTACCTAGGAAACCATCTTTTTCTGGAGAATCTACGTCAATTTTGAGACCAAAGAGAAATTATGGAGGGGGGTACTGTCCCCCTCTTTAGGGGATCATTTTTGGGCCTTGGATGGGCCGATTATGGATTTTTAGGGGTCAATCTACGTGAAATTTTTCGTGCTTTTCAATTCTGACGCGATTAATCCGCAATTCGGTCGGGAACCGTGACTTTTA